TATGGTCTTACTCTCTTCTGGAATGACCTTACTGTCCTTATGTGACAAACGATCTAATTTTCTACTTGAAAAAAAAATCTATTTGACTCCTGTTTAGTCCACTCTAAAAGATTATTAAACATTCATCTCTCTTTTTGAAATAGGTGTTNTTTCTACTTGAAAAAAAAATCTATTTGACTCCTGTTTAGTCCACTCTAAAAGATTATTAAACATTCATCTCTCTTTTTGAAGCTATCATAAGATCATATACCACTGCAAAATCTAAAATAGACCCTCCAGCACCATTCTTATCTCCAAATTCATGTCCATCTTAAATCATCTCATTTCCTCTTGGATCTTGTCCCATATGAACATTAAAGTTTCCTCCGATGTATACTATTTCCGAAACATGTGTTTCTTGCATTAATTCATCAAGTTGTTCCCAAAACTGAGTTGTGATCTGTTCATCCTATCCTAGTTGATATGTATAAGCACTAATAATATTTATTATACTTTCTCCCTCTACAAACTTAATTAGTATTATTCTATCTCCTTTCTTAAGAATGCTTAGGATTGTTATATACTATTATTCTAACTTCATTTCTATGTCTGTCTTTTCCAATACAGTAGAGTTTATAGCCTGTGTTTTCTATTTCTCTTGATTTCTCTCTTACCCACATAGTTTCTTGTAAGCATGATATATTAACTTTTCTCCTAATCATAGTTTCAACTAACTAATTTCCTTTACCTCTAAGTGTTCCTATATTCTAAGTTGCTAACCTTAGCTTAGTATATTGGACTAATTTCTTTACCCGCAATTGTCCAAAGTGATGCGGGAACCCTTGCTCATTTTTCACCTCATCGGGCGACTATAATGCAGCACCCTCGCCCAATTTTTGAAACACCGGGGTGCGGGTGCAGTGCATTGCTGAAGGGGAATGCCCTAGCATTTACGCTTATATTTTTTGGATTTATGTTCAGATTGGATCTGAAAAAGTGATTGTCAGCTATCTAACACAACCCTCCTCTTTTATTTGAGCTTGAGACTGGTTGTTTAAAAGATAGGCACTAAAACTCAGCAGTGGCGGAGCTAGTTGCATACAACCAGCTTATATTAATAGGATGATTGGCTAAATTGAATGGGGATTTTAGACTAATCTAGGAAGTTTACGTAGGGAAATAGTGATGCCGGAATATGTATTAAGTTTCCAATCTATGTGATTTTAAAGCTGGAAACATTGCTAAAAAAGTTAGATACATTGGCCTTGTGTTAAGTCCATTTTGTTAGGCATACTTTTCTTGAACAACTGTTTCCTGAGTAATGATGTAAACAAATATGGGTTGCACCATATACTGGATAACATTAATACAAGGGATTTTTTTGGATAAAAAGCAAGTTGAGATATTATATAATTTATTGTGCTTTAAAACGAGTTGAGAAACTGTTATGACCCCATAAGGGATTCTCAATTGTCAATTTTCACGGAAGTCAGCAACTTGGGTCACGTGGAACATGACCCACCTACCCTAATTCTAAGTAATAGTCGTATTTGGTATGTCCTTCAAGACTTGCACTTTCTTGTGAGGAATATATGTCCTATGGTTCGTTTAAAGCAGTATTTGTCAAAGAAGCTTTCGAGGACGCAATTCATATGGATTGTGATAGCCATGGGCCATTAGCATGGCAGTGAAGATGTAGGGATTATATTTTCCTTATCCTCACCCACATTGTGCCGATTGTGGCATTAGGCCATGGTTCACATTATCATATGGTTATGAGCATGCGAGTGGCAGTCCCATCTTATACTTGTATATGGTTACATGAGGTAATCAAGTTGGCTCACCTGATTTTAATTATCATATGCTACAAGCACATTTGGTTATATATTTAATATTGGTGAGTTGATGAAGAACATAATGTAGATTGGTAGCATATATTGCAAGACATTTACATCTGACCTTTTAAAATCACATACTGAGAATGATGCACTTTTTTTTTTCTCTCTTTTTTGTGTGTGGAATGCTGATTCTAGATTTTTCATTAAGATCTATTAGATGTTTGCCATTGTTTTTCNTATTGCAAGACATTTACATCTGACCTTTTAAAATCACATACTGAGAATGATGCACTTCTTTTTTTCTCTCTTTTTTGTGTGTGGAATGCTGATTCTAGATTTTTCATTAAGATCTATTAAATGTTTGCCATTGTTTTTCCAGGATTTCTATGTTTTGCTATTAATTTATGTGGTTCACTCATTGATTTACATATTTGATATATGGCTAGTAATATCTCTGCATCTTGGGACTTAGTTAACAAGGATAAAAATATTGTTTTGGTTTATTGTTTAGGTCACCTAAGAAACGAAAACATTTTGGAAACATAAATGAAATGGATAAAAAGTTNTTATGTGGTTCACTCATTGATTTACATATTTGATATATGGCTAGTAATATCTCTGCATGTTGGGACTTAGTTAACAAGGATAAAAATATTGTTTTGGTTTATTGTTTAGGTCACCTAAGAAACGAAAACATTTTGGAAACATAAAAGAAATGGATAAAAAGTTTNCAGTATGGACCTGCTTAGGAAAGGTCTACTTGTCGATCTGCATCGGCCTCTTGGACTCCGGGAAGGCAAGCAGCATCCCTTTCTCGAAAGAATTTATTTTCAAAACATTTTGAAGCATTGGTTTAAATATATCTAAATATCTTGAAACACCTCGAAATAATCTCTAAAACATTGGTCGAAACATGCTGAAACATTCCAATATACCTCGAAGTATTGAAATTTCTATTCAATCGCTGATTTGTTTCTGTCTCTTTGGAAATGGAAACATTTCTGTTATAGTTTCGACCATTTCGAAATGATATTTTGATCCTTGTTCGGTACAATTATTAATGTTGTCATCTTATTGATTTTTGTTGTCAATAATTTTTCCACGAGATTCCTATGAAGGTGTTCGGAAATAATTGATTATTTCAAAATGGCTATTGAAAGCAATGAATATGTTACCAGAATTGAAATATTGTTCTTCTTATCAGCGAGCTTTAAACTAAAGCATGCTTAATGGCGTAATTTCATTGTTTTTGGTTTGTTTGATAGTATTTGGAACTTATGGTAGTTCTTATGGGATTAGAGCCTATCTTTCTGGTATTTGTGTTGAAATTTTGTTCATTAAGATGGTACTTGAGTCGAACTTGATCCATTAGGATGATAAAACAGTTGAACAACCCCCCTTTCCATTTGTAAAGACAGAAATGTGTGGTTATGCACACTAGCAGCTTGGGTTGATGGTGCAACTTACATCTATATGGCGCGCTTGACTCTGGGACTTAATGTTGTTTTGGCATATTTTCGACTTCTTCTTTGCATGCAGGGCTCTGTCAAAGATCTTGCTGGAGAGGAGCAGGGTCAGTCCAATGTGAAGGTAATGTGCAGGCTATGTTTTTTGGGTGAAAATGGAGGTGAGATAGCACGAAAGATGCTTTCGTGCAAAAGTTGTGGCAAGAAGTACCACAGAAGCTGCCTGAAAACTTGGGCTCAACACAGAGGTATGATTCATGGCCCAAATTTTGTCACATTGCGTGGTTGCATTTTGTGAGAAAGAGCTTATTGCAGATCTATTTCACTGGAGTTCATGGACTTGCCCCTCTTGTCAGATTTGTGAGGTAATTATCAATATGTTTATTTTATTTATGAGAGATATCATTTTTAAGACCAAAAAGAGAGATGGTCTTTCCGTTGTGAAACATGTCAATGGGGAAAAAGGCTTTTTTATTTTATTTTCCGACTCAGTTACCATTTTTTGCCAAGTCGGTTTCCATATGAATCTGACTTTTCATCCTTTGTTAGTACTACAATAATTTTGGCTTCAAAAGCACCTTTTTAAAATACCAGAAGGCCTACGACAGATGCAAAGTTCAAATTTTGAGCACTAGTAATTACAAATTGGTGCTAGCTCTTTTGCT